TTTCCCGTAGCCCCTTGTAGGAGCCCTAATAGCAAAAACAAGACAGCAACAACAAAAAACTTTAAAAAATAATTTGCCAAGAATGGAATTAAAGTACAAGTTTATTTTGGTACAAAAATTTTGAGATTCATGCACATTTATCTCATAATCTTCCCACCGACTCTGCTCTGGGCTTTACATAAATCTGTCTTGGGTCTGGGGAGTGTTCACTGTGCCGCTTCTCTGGGAGGTGGCAGGGTAAGAGAAGGGGTGTCTGCCGCTCTAGGCGGCCCGCCTCTCCGTGGGAGTGCCCCTTTCTGCTCTGCAGACCCAAACATCATTTTCCCTCCCGGTTTCCCGTCCTGCTCCTGTCCAAGGCCCTGGTGGTTCACTCTGGCTCCGCCCGAGTCGAAGACACGCAGCGTTCCCAGAGAGACTGGCGCCCTGTTTCTGACACGGCCTTTTGTTGGTTGGGTTTTGTTTCTGTAAAGCCTGTCCTGTCGTCCCAAGGTCGTCTCTGCAGGCTGCACCACCACGTTCACCTGGGAGAGGCTTTCAAAGCACTTACGAGCTGAGCTGAAAAGCAGCTGTGGTTCTTGAGCGAGATGAGTTGTGTGTGGAGTGCACTGGCGGTCCGAGGCCACCCGACTGGGGCAGACCCACTTTCAGGGCGAGCACGTCGGGGTTGTATTTAGGTGCACACCGGGCCTGTCTGCAAGACCTAGGCCAGTGTCACACAGGTGGCCTTTCCACGTGGACGTTATGGAAATGCTCACCAGTTTGTAGACTGCTTCTATATGTGGGCAAAGCCCTGAGACAAAGGTGTGCAGATAGCGGCCAGCACATGGTCTAGCAGTTATGTCTCTGGACTCCCACATGGCTAATCACAGTTCAAATCCCGGGCCCACTGGCTTGAAACTCACACCAGGCATGTGTGCTCAAGTTCCCAGAAAGAGAAGATAGAGGAGGAGGGATTGTGGTGGGGCCATCCCCCTGGGGAGTGATTTCTCACTTTCCCTTTCACTGTTTCCTTCTCTCTCGGAGGAGCACACATACCTTAAGGAAAAACCTCTTAAAAAAAGAAAAAACAAAACAGTTTGAAGATAGAACACAGTGATTTTAAGTTTCACTGGTTCTGGTAGCCTGCAATTTCTTTCTTTCTTTGTTTTAATTTTGCTAGGGGACACGTGCTTGGCAGAAAAAGAGAGAAAAAGAGAAACATCACCCCTCACTGGGTCATGGTCATGCCATACTCCCTTCTCCATCCTGTTGGGATTTGAGGCACACATGTACACATGTGTGCTTGTGTGTACACATGCCCAGCATGTTTTTCGAGCAGGCCAGGGTGGGACTCAGTCCAAGTAGTCAGCCATGGGGGAACCAGCTTCCATGTCATGCTATGGGCCTGGCCCCTGTTTATTTTCTTTTTCCATCCAAGATTAGGAGTATGTACTATGTCCTGCGATCGTTGTCCTCTTAAAGGTTAATGGCACAGTAAGTCCACACTGGAGACTCTGGTTGGCTGAGTCAGGATTTAAAACCCCTCTGGAGAGGGCGACTGTGGTCTGCTCTTCCTGAGGCCGAAAGAGGATCTCAGGGTGAAACTGGACCCTGTGCGGGGCCGGCAGCATTGCAGCCGGCCGCTGCCTCAGATGTGCTTGGGCAGGCCCGCTGGCCCGAAAGTTAACGACTTCTGAAATCCGAACTCTCCGATTATCTTTTCAGGCCGCCAGAGTTGATCACTCCTGGCAAGACATCACGTTGAATCGTTCTCGCGCGATGTCAGCCCTGGGCATGGCCCTTGGCGATGTGGCTGGGGCCGCAGAGAATACAGGACAGCGGCACTTTAGCTCTGCCAAGCAGGCCCTTAGAGAAAGCGCTGGGGAGCCGACTCTAACGGACATGACACGCGTGGCCCACGTGCTTCAGGGAAAAGCAGAACTCAGAGTCAGAAAGTATAAGCTCCATTCCACCATGTTGAGGTTAAAGAGACTCCTCAGAAGAGAGAGAGGCTGAAGAAGGCCCGTGGTGGAGCCAGCAGGTGGCGTGGTGGTTAAGGCACTGCGCTCCCACATGGCCTGCTGAGATTCGAGTCCCGGACCGGTTTCTCTGTCCCTTTGGCGAGTGCATGCGCCCTATCACAAATTAAAACAGTAATAATAATAATTAATATCATTAACTTTTTATAAAAAGAGAAAGGGAGAGAAAAGAAGCCCCACCGTGCAGGGTTGTTAGTTCCAGACGTGCTTTCGGCATAGGACTTGTGGAGACGAGGCAAGGCCTTGGAAAGAGGGTGGGTGAGAAACGGTTCTCTGGGGTCGCTGGCTTTCGGGAGGACCCGCTTCCTTCTGCAGAACACGTGCAGGGGGTCGTCACTCTCTGAGTTCAGGGACTGAATCCTTTGCCTCCATTTTCTTGGTCACCTCTCAGATTTCAAATACCCCCCACTCATTTGTCTTACACTCTGAGAGAACAATATAACTTTTTAAAACTACTGAGGTCCTGTTTACTTGGTTCTTATTTTTAATTTTGCCAGAGGTTGTACGTGCCCAGTAGAGGGAGAGGGGACGTGAGACTGCATCTCCACGGGGCACGGTCACGCTGCAGTCCCTTCTCCACTTCCCCTTCCTTTGGGGGGTTTTGAGCACGCACACATGTTCAGTGTGTTCTCAAGCCTCGGGGTGAAGACTCAGACTGTGCCGTTGGCCGTGGGATCCAGTCACTGTAACCACCACGCCACTGGCTGGCCCGCCTCTGTACGTTTTTTAACCATCGTACAGAAGCCTGGCCTCAGTTTTCACATTCTGCCCCACCTTAGAACACCAAGGAACGACATGATCATCTTGACTGGGGGCTTTGATTCCAGGGTGTGCCTGCACTGGCTCTGCCCTCAGTGACAATGGCTTGGTCAAGGCTCCGTGTGGCCCGATGGGTCTTACAGTGACGTGCCATTTTCAGCCATTAGTGTGCATGCTTTGTCCGAGGGCATGTCGTGAGGGGCTCTGTGCGGCTGGTTTCCCGCTGACAGCAGAACTGGGCCAGGCTTGGCACATTTCTCCTTCGTAGCTGGCCGGTCCTCAGCTGTCATCGGCTGCTTCTGAGGATCTGTCCTGGTAGACAGGGACAAATCCCTTTGCTTACTCTTTTCCTGCCATGCACTGCCTGCCTTTATCTTCGTCCCTATTTGTTTTGGCATTTCTTGTGTTAGAGCTGGCGCCCTCAGCCACTGCCAGGCCACCGAGAGCCCTAGGCTCATGGTCTGACACAACGCCCAGGCCTTGTGCTGGGGTGGACAGGTTCCCAGGACTCAGCCTTTCTGCGCACTCAGAGCCAGGCATCTTCATTTGATTTCCTTTTTCTTTCTAGCAATCTGGGGACTTCGAGGTTACCATGGGAAGCCCAACTTAGGAATAAGCACGTTTTTATTTTTATAGTGCATCTTCAAGATGTAGCTCAGTTTTTAAAATATCTGAGTGATTCTGGTATCAATGAACTAGACCCTTGCTTGATGACATTTCTCATTTAAAGATGCTTACTGTTTTGAAGAATAACAATGTTCGCACTCTGGGTCCTGCCTGGGAAGTCTGCTCTCTGGAGGGGACGGCGCGTCCTGTGCCCCTCCGTGCCAGTGAGTGCTGGGAAGTTCAGGATGTTGCGGGGCTCATGCTGGAATGGTTAGGGGATGAACAGGCACCCGGATGCTCTTGGGCACCCTTCCATTTCAACTTCTGTCCGTTTTTCCTCCCTGGCTCTCCTCTCCAGCGGTCGTTTACCCTTTACAGCTAAAGGGGATGCAGTATTGTCTCCTTTCTCCATAGACAATTGTCATGCCCTCTTCTGTGAGCCAGACCTCCTTAAATCTAGGAAACTTAGAAACCCTACCCGCCCTTTGAATGTTCATCATAAATCCCTGAATGCCATGGTGTGGGTAATGGCATGTCCCCCAAGGGTCCATGTGTTGTCATTTGGTTCTTAACATAATGGCAAGAGGGGGTGATGACAGTTGGGGTTTGTTTTTTTTTTTTAATTCAATCAGGACATAATCAAGGATACAAATGGAAAAATAAATGACAAATCAACAGCTTGAAATTATTGGGATGAATAGAAATGTCATCATGCATAGTTTAATCCTAATAAACATATATAATTAAACCAATTTGTGAAACAACCTGCTGCACAACAGAGTTTAGTTAATTTCATAATGAACATGCTCTGTTCTTTCTTTCTTTTTATTTTTTCCATCTGTCAAATGTTTCCTCCCCTTGCACCTCACACCCATCCTCCACCACCTACTCTACCATCCACTCTCCTCCTTACAGTCTCTAGCATTTATACCCATCTCTCTACCATCACATTTTCAAGTCACTCGACCTCTGCCATAGCACTCGGTACAAACTGAGTGGGGATATCCAATGTGTATCTTTCACAGTCTGGCTTACTTCACTCAACATTAAGTCTTCTGTGTTCATCCACTTTCAGTCCAAAGATAAGATCTCAATGTTTCTTATAGCAGAGTAAAAGTCCATAGTGTATATGTGCCACAGTTTCTCAACTCAGTCATCAATTTTTGGACACTTGGTTGGTTCCATGTTTTAGTAATTGTGAATAATACTGTAGTAAACGTGGATGTGCACTGTTCCACAAGTGACAGGTCACAGCAAGGGTGAGGT